TTGAGCAGCATTCCTTAGACCGAAAGGCATTCGCAAAAATTCATAGAGTCCGAAGGGAGTTATGATAGCTGTTTTCGGTATGTCGTCAGTAGCCATAGGGATTTGGTTATACGCTTTAACCAAGTCGATTTTCGAAAAGACAGTTGTACCTTTCAAGGTAGCTGTCAAATCGTGAATGTGAGGCAACGGGTAACGATCGGGAATGGTTTTCGCGTTCAATCGCCGATAGTCACCAGTTGGACGCCAATCGTTGCTGTCCTTTTTAGGGACCATGTGCAACGGAGATGCATATGGGCTACTTGACGGTCGTATGATTCCTAAGTCCATCATGTGATCGAATTCGTTTTTCGCTAACCTTAGCTTTTCAGGAGCTAGTCGTCGTGCTTTAGAAAATACAGGTGGTCCTGTAGTCGTGATGTGATGTGTAACATTGCTGGTTACACACGGTAGTTTCGGTTGAGTTTGTTGTATCCCAGGGTACTTATCGAGTAGTGGTTGATAGAGTGGGTCTATCATATGTTTAACTGTGACTGGGGATACTCTACAACCAGTAAAAGAAGTTACGCAAACGGACAAATTAGTGTTTCCGTCTACTAGCCTCCGTTTGCGAGTGTCGATGATCAGATTGTGGTGTTGTAGAAGGTCCATACCAATGATTGGCATAGAAACATCTGCAACGACGAAAATCCAGTGGATGGGTTTGCGTAAACCCACGTTAAGGTAAACGTACCTTTTGCCATACGTAGCGATCGGTTTTCCGTTTGCCGCCTGTAAGTTTAGGGTCGATTCGTGAAGTCGGTCGTTAGGATTTGCTGGGAGAACGCTAACTTCTGCGCCAGTGTCGACGAGGTAGCGAACTCTCGTTGTCACATCTGTGACGTATAACAGACGGCTTTGTTCGCCGGCTACGGTTGCCGTTAACGCGTGCCGGCTTGGAAGTTTCCCGAATTGTTTTCGAGTCGGTCGGTTTTGGTTGGGAAAATTGCAGGGTTTTCTGCAATTTCTGGAAAACTTTCCATACTGGTTATGATACCAGCACCAGTCGGGGTTATCTGTCTCTCGTGGTCTAGAGACAGATCGCTTACGAGAAATGCTTCTACGTGGTGTGCGCGATCTCTTACGGTCGGTACGAAGACTAAGATAACGCGTGAGTGTGTGACATAAGTCGGTTATGTCATTCTGAGTCGTGTGAGGCTTTTCTTTGACTGAAAATACCTCGGTAGTAGAAGGTTTCGTAATTTCTAGAATGCGGTCGGCAGATGCAGCTAGTTCGTCTAAGGCGTTGTTCTGGAACGAGACCAGAACTGCTTGCACCTGTTGGGGAAGTTTTGACAAGAAGAGTTGTTTGAATAGACCTTCGTCGAAAGTTCTTGGGCCTATAACCTCTCTCATCCGTTGCAACATGTCCGTCGCAGAACCGTGTTGCAGGTCTATGTTATTGAAGAGTTGATCTAACCTTTGTCGATCGGTTAGGTCTCCTCGTTTAAGAATCGAGCGTTTTAAGATTTCGTAAGGATCGGAAACATCACTAGTAAACATACTAGGTGTTACGTACCTGTTGAATTCCCGCGGTAGTGCCTTGACTACTGCGAGGAATTGTGCACGTGTGTCGATCACGCCGTGCTCGTGGAAGTCGGCTTCTGCGTAGCAGAACCAGGCTTCGATATTGTCGGGCCAGAAGGGCATGAGCTGGAACGAGGGTGGGGACATGGTTTTAATCTTAAATACTATGGGAGTCTGTTCGGTCATAGGGGAATATTAGATACGAGAATACGAGGGAAAAATATATAGATATCTTAAAACACGGGGGAAAATATCACAATGTATAAAAAATAAAGAAAATAAGGCAATAATATATAAAAATCCCAAAAAGGAACAGACTCACAGTTGCAATTAGGTGTGCAAGATCACGTCGGTCTCACCAATGTTGAGTTACAGAGGTGAGCACAAGTTTGGTAAATTTTTATCCTATGGAAAATTCTACTTATCCATTTCGTGTCTTCCGCCATTTTAGATGCTATACTTACCTAATTACGCCTATCACACCTAGTGGAGGAGCATTGGCCAATAACCAGCACACTCTAACCAACCCTGTCCTGGGCAATCCTCTCCAGTTATTATTCACCCTTTTCATGCCTGCTTCCACTTTTCGATATAATATGTTCTTTGGCCCTCTTCTTTTCTACTTTCTACCAGGTTTCTAAGATAGGGTTTGCTTCGTGACGCAGTTTGATGATTTTCGTAGTGTATATCCTATTTACTTCCATAGTATTTTTCTAGTTTCCACTTCATTTGCAAGCTGGTTGGTCCTCTCCCACAGAAGGCTGTTGCTGATGGTATCCGACCAACAAATCTGAAGTATCTTGCGTAGACAGCTACTCATAAATACTTGCACTATTTTGACGTTGGTTGTGGAGGTTCTCCACGTTTCTGCTCCGTACAGCAGAACCATATTAACGTTCGTATTGAAGATCCTCACTTTAATATTGGTTGACAAATACCTATTTATAAAGAAATCATTCACGTCGATTGGATGACTTATTCAGTGTACAGTAAACCGAAGAACCATGTACCTATTTATATTCGATAATTTTGTTGTTTGATTATATTTTCCTTGAAAAAGCTTGGACCAGATTGCCAGGCGAAACGTTGGATTTACTTCAAATTCATTCGCTGAGATTTTACAAATATATTCTTCTTTTTAATGTCTCAAATTAACTCGGCGCCCAAATATTGTAAAACTATTCGTTCAAATTTAGACGAAAGTTCTTATTGGTTGACAGCTGTTTTGAGTTCCATCTGAAGTTACACCATCAAGAAATAAACAATTCAGTCGATCAGTGCCATCCGGTCAACTTAACAAGTAAAGTTGTTAAATCAAAATGTAAATGATATGTGCTAATGGAAGTAACATATGACTGGTCATTGAGCGTGGACGAACTACTACAGCATACGGACTATTAAATATGTGACTTCTCCTATCGTTGAATTTTAGGCCGGACTCACTGAGTGTAGTTGCCTTTAATTGTATTGAGAAAAGTATTATCCAATGTTAACCTGGCTCTCTATTTTTTGGGTTGTGAACCCTGGTTCTGATACAACGTGATTAGTCCTGTTGTCGTATTAACGTGTTACCGTATTAACCTGAGGTAAAATATTTTTAAAACACCCACCTTACCAGTAAGATAACATGGGCCCCTATTTTAAGCCATGTTGAAGGGACCAAACTTTTCGCGAGGAAACAACTTGGTTCTTAGTAAAGGTTTCTCATATTTAATAAATCTCATTGCAACAGAAGACCGAACTCTGGCGAAAGACAATCATTCTCAGCAGGTGTAAGTTTTATAGATCTAAGTAAAGCCTTTGGTTAAGTCCCTTATCGTGGGTTCAAACAAAAAACCATATCCTGGAACTAGTTGCAAGGTAAAAAATTGAACTACTGACGTTCTCAATTCCAAGAAACATTAAAAGTAAATGGTGCCCCATCGTCATCGGTACCTATGAAGGATGGGGTTCAACAAAAGCCACAATAGGCCTTATTGTTTTCTATTTTATATAAGTAGTCCACAAAATGTTTCAAACCCGTCCTAGTTCTTACTGATGAATTTCAAATATGTGGGACCACGCGAAGTGTGTTTGATATGATTTATAAGAAGACTTAAATACACCTGTCAAGTGAGTAGGCCTGTGATGTGTAGTAATGCGAATTTGCCATTGAGACAGCTTACATAACTATACAGTTGGCAGGACAGGATAGCTCAAAGCAATTGTTCATGAAGTCTCAGTAGTCATTAATAGTAATGACCTAAGGATTACAAGTAACCGTAACCCGACGGCTGTCAATGCTTCTTAGTCTTATAGACTATTCTTAAGTCATCTATTCATTAACACAAATAAATATCTAAGTCACCATAACGGATTTTTGTGAGACCACATTTGGGATTCAAGCAGATGGTCATTGTTCTGAACACGAAATAAAGACGCTCGAGAGAGTTCAACGGCAGAGAAGTGTTGAAAGGTTTTTCTAGCGTGCAATATCTAAATAAACTGTGACAACTCAACTTGTCCCCGCTATCTTATCGCAAGTTACTAGCTGATCTAATACTAGCTTACTCTACACTAAACAATGATCTTGGCACTGATTTGTCCTATTATTTACTTCTATCTAGAAATGGCCATCAGAAAGCTCAGAAATTGATACTAAATTGCCAATATCTAGAGTTCCCTTTATTAAACCTAGTCGTGAGTTACTACAATTCTTCAGCGGAACACGTAGTATCAACATCTTAAGCTGGTACATGTGAGAACGAGACCGGCTTTTCACAGTATGACAGGTTGCGAAGATTAACACCAGTCACTTGATCTCAATGCTTACCTCTTGAACTCATCGCAATCCGTAGATCGATCCTATAATGTAAACAGAAAAGCTCGCCGTAATTTTATCAAACACTTGCTGGAAAGAAGTCTGACATGTTACTAAGATATTTGGCAACGACACCTAATGTAAAATATACATACCATAGGCAAATATACAAATAATTCCACCGTAGTTATGTCTTAAACATCTCAATGGAAACTATGAAAATATCAATCTTATCAATTATCATAAAAATATTGTTTTTTCATAAGTTATTGATTTAAAATATTCGTAACCTCTTTTATTTTGAACACAAAGATCAAAAGCAGAAATACAAGAATTTCACAAATCACTCGGTCAAAACAGACAACATAATCAAAAGACTAAGTCAAAAGTAGATCAATATGTAAATAAATATTAAGTCATTGTGCGACGTACCAGGTGAAAAAGACAACATATTTTTTTCAACTCAAAAAAACAAAGATATCTGACAAGTGATTGAATTAAAGAAAGAAATAATAATAATGATAAACATCACTGCATATATATATATATATATATATATATATATATATATATATATATATATATATATATATATATATATAAACACAACAAGACAACACGGAAAAATCTCAAAGACTCATTCCAGTCTGTGTTCATAATTTTGAAGTGTATTTGTATTTTCATACGGTTCAAAACCTGATCCTGTGATATCTTCGTCAAAACTACCCATCTTCGGTACTGTAATTAATTTTCCTGACTCTCCAGGATTACTTGCATGAATGCTGTGCCTCCATCCATATGCAAAATAAATAATCAAACCTATGAACAATGTTTTACAATACAATAAGTCAATGAACTGAATACTTTTCATAACATAATAATGCTTGCTAAGGAGATTGACTTATATACAAGTTTTGAGCCATCACGCTGTGGTTCAGTGTTTAATAAATTGGTAAAATGCTTATCAATAACACAGTTCAATAACAAGAAAATAAACATGAATCATAGATCAATTTGCGTAACTTTGATTCAGTAGCTTAGGTACTTAATTTTTAACAATCCAATACCTGGTTAGAATCATACTCCGTTGATATTACTTTCAGCAATAGGAAAAAAAGTTTTTTATAACAGTTTTATCCGGTCAGTTTGCTTGTTTTCATTCAGATACACATTGAATATTGTTCGTTTTATTAGAAGTGCTTGGCAGACTTATTGTTTCGTTATGAAGATTGTACGTCTGAGCTGGTTTTATGGTGAATATCATGAATTTTAATGAAAATTAATGTTCAAATAGTCTGACCAAACAGTATCAAAATTTAGGCAAATTTTAATATTCCTAATAATCTAAAGCATTCACAGCTTAAAAGAACAAAAATTCATGATTGTGTTCAAATGCGAGCGAATATACTTTGAACCCTTTATATGATCAAATATATTAATTAACAATGAGTCCTTCAGTATTTCATTGTATTGAGTCCTTATTTAAGACAATAAAGACCTGTGTATCGTAGTTTAATGAAAAGTGTTTTTTTTACTCGGTGCATTACATATTAACCAACAGTGCTGATTTCTGTATCTGTTTGATTGAAACAGAATACATTTTGCGACTGGGCAAAAGGGTTAAAGAATAACCTAAGTATTTGGTCTTAAAAAAGTCCTGAACCTTTCTGACAAGTGACTGATCATTGTCCAAGGTATTTAGCTGACTACCAACAGAAATTTTCAAGGATCTCCCTGCCTTTCTACCAAATTTATTTAAGAGTTTGAGGAAACATGTCATTATTTTAGATAGGGTACTTCCATAAATATCTCCAGTAATTTCGATTATTTCTCTGAAGAATTTTGGAGCAGAATAACAAGTTTAGAGTTGAAATTATCTCTACCACATCATTATATTTTATGTTCTATATAAACTATATTTAGCATATAAATAGATTAAGAGAGAAATAAAAATAAATACTCATCTTTGAATATCTTACCGATAACTAACCAAATAATGAATCGAACCCATGTCATAGGTGATAATTTTACCATAAGACAAAAATTCAGGAAAACACATAAACATGGAATCAGAGGAACAAATGGAACCTGAACTCCAAAAGAAACAAGACAAAGAAATTACTGAGGACTCATAAACTATGCTAATAATGATCTTTTTTCAAAATGAAATGTTTATTCTAAATTGACTGGTGCTTGAATATGTAAGAGGCTTTAACCAAGCCTAGTAAGCTGGTAATTTTATAAGATGATGCTTTTTTAATTGAATAAAAGTTCGGTTGCTTATGTATTAATCAGTAATAAATTCCGAGATGTTTTCAATATCGGTGTGCTAGTTATTATAATCGGAAATAATAAAAAATATGATAACTGTAGTTAGTCGTTATCAGTTTTCTGGAAAACCACTAAAACACTGAACCTTGAAAAAAAATACTACTGTAAAAATATTGCACTTAGATTCTGTTATGATGAATCATATGAACTGAGATTCTGACAGATAAGTTTTTTCTTACTGCATGAAATTTCATATTCATAGTAGGAATTCGAAATAATGGACACACCGGTCTTTATTTTTTCGGTACTAATTTAAAGTGTAGCAGTAATTAAATAAATGACACTTTTGAAATCATTAAATGCCTTAGAAGATTACTGAAGTGAATAGTAGTGTGTACTGAAGCATTATTGTTTACCTGCTGGAAAATCTCTAAATGAACATTAAAGAGATTAAGACTAGGGTGCCGACTATTTAACATTCCTGAATAAAATACAAAATTTATATGAAATAAAAATTAAATTTCTATGAAGAATCTTGAATGGTATGATGTATTACTGTGAAATATCAATAAGTTAATATTGCAAACAAATAAGCAAAGAGATTGAACGAAAATTTATCTGGAACAGTTGAATTAATTTAAATCACTTCTTTAGAATTATAAACAAATTTTCTACTTTTTTGTTTACTAGTAGCAAAAATTAGGATGTTTTACGGCAAATTCCTATCAATAAGACTGGGTATGCTCATACTGAATCATTTTCTTGGCTTTCGTTTTGATTAACTTACACTTTGTAATATCAGGATACTCATCAACGTCAATTCGTCGAATGAATGAAAACATTTTACACGCATAAAGTATTTTAAACTTTATAATTAAGATAAATATTTTATTAACATCGATGAGATTGAACAAACTATACATCATTTTACCTAGTCATGTATCTGTCAGAACAATATGATATATTTTGTTGCTTGAAAAAAAAACCTTCACTGAATAGATTTTTATAAAAACTTGCTTATCACTCAATCTAAATTAAGAACGTCGTATCAGATATAAATTCACATTTCATGACGGAATATGCTACAAATGACTACAAATTAATTCGACTAGACAATAAATGAACTGGAAAAATGTCTGTTTGGATTGAACAGAATTTTCTTGAATTTAGAAAGTTTTGGTATGTAATATATTAATTGACTAAATATATACAATGTTTTATGTTATTATAGCTTTCAGGGGTTTATTTCAAGTTAACGAGAGTCAGGTTTATTGTGATATGATTTCAAGTTATGGATAGAAATAGCAGAAAATGTAATATCTGTCACTATCCCCTTCGCAGATTGGTATATTTACACATTTTCCATAGTTTATTTCGGGTCGAACATTAAACTTATTATATGAATTTACTCATCATTTACAAATTCCACAAAAAACTTTTCAGTTTTATAAATTACAATTTCCTAGTAAGACAAGGTTACAGTAGATGGTTGGTTCGCATACTTCTAAGGAAATAGGGATGAATTTAACAAACTGTACACTTGTTTATATACTTGGTAAAATAAGAATTTTCTTTACATTTGAGTGATGTAAGAATCGAACATAGAGATATGACAGGGATAATATGGATAAGCCACAGTAAGTCTCCGTTAGGCAGTCAACTATCATTGGATATGTTTAGTTCTATCTAACGTTCCGAAAGTTTCATTCTATATGTAATCGCACTTCTGTGAGTGTATTTCATCTCATGAAAGTATATAACCAACTGATTACCGATATACTATTTACTCATTTACAGTTTCTATGGACAAATATGAGTCATGGATATTCGTGTCGTAGCATCGAAGTTTATTAATTTAAATATCAATATATTCATAAGTTTAACAGATTCATATATTTAAAGGATTGTAAATGTAAGTAAATACCTTGAAGCTATCGAATGATTTGTTCTGTTCGTGTAGGAACATGATAACCACGAAGAAAACCGCTCCTATTAGGAATAAAATAAATATCACCACTGCCCACCAACGTGCTTCTTGAATGTACTGAGCTCCTGGTAAAAGAAGACTAGCTAAACCAAAAGCGCAAATAGTATAAATTAACAGTGAAATAATAGGTGCACGTCCGGGCGTTGAATCACGAAGAATCGGTAAGTGACGAAAGGCAGATTTCAAACGTCCAATGGAGTGTGGCCATTCATTCAACTCAGCTTCATTAGTTTCACGTATAACCTTTTCGCTATTTAAACGTTCATCAGTTGGAAAATTAGGATTCTTTAAACAAAAATGGGGTTATTATTATTATTATTATTATTATTATTATTATTATTATTTTTATTATACTAACAAACATATATTGACAGTTGGACAATTTAGGCTATGGCCAAGAGTCTGAGTAAGTAAACACCGAGGTCTACATTACATTATGTTACATTATGCGAAGATTGAAATAACAATGACCACCAAATAAAATGTAAGTTGGAAGCTTAAACCTAAATGTGATCAGCACAAAGTCTGATGGTTGCGTTTTTTATAGTGAGAGTCTAGGCAAATCCACATCGTTTGGCTTCATAACACGGAAAAAAAGGATGAAAGTAAGTGTCGTATAATTCTGTACAATTTATTCAATTCGGACTTACTATAGTAGAAGTTAATGAAAAGTACTATACCACTCATTGAATAATTTGATAATAAGGACTAATTGATTACTACAGAAAATTTTATGACTTTATCTGAAATTACTTTATTTTTACTGTATCAATTTTTAAGGAAGTATGGAATATCGAATTACTCATATCAACCACTTCTATAGGTTTATAAAATAATATTAATCAGGTCAACATTTAAAACAAGACACAAAAATAAATAGTGATAAATTAGTGTATTATCAAATAGTGAGTATTTACTCAAAACAACTGTCAGACGACATCAAAGTCAGAGTCTTCAATACGAACGTCAAGACAGTTCTATCGTACGGAACTGAAACTTGAAGAACTACTACGACCATCATCAAAAGTACAGGTATTTATAAACAGTTGTCTACACAAGATCATGAGACAAGCACTAACTTGGAATCCCGGAGGGAAAAGAAAAAAAGGAAAACAAAGGAACATATTGCACTGGGGAAAGGAGGCAAACATTAAAAGAATGAACAGCACTAGGACAGACTGCCCAGGACAGATTTGGATGGAGAATCCTGGTCGGTGTCCTACGCTCCACGAGGTGTAGCAGGCGTAAGTAAGGTATTTTCTCAGAAAGTATCATAAACAATTTGTTAAAATATTTAAATAGAGAAATTTCACGAGATGAAATTCGAGAAAATACTAGAATTTCTAGTAACACACTGTATTCAATACAACTGAGTTTGTCGTGGCCGGTGAAGAATTAAACCTTTGACTCACTGTCAAGCAGATAATGAGATCTTAGTTTATTTTACAAATGAAACTTTGAAATCTGTTGAGTTGATCAGTAATATTGAACATACGATGGAAATATATATTTTACACGAGTCATTAAGTTATCTAGTCTACCGTGAGTTTTGAATAAACATTTTGAAGAAATCTGTTTCAGATAAATATTCTAGTTTTAATTAACTTATCTTCTGGTTGTTACTTATATGAACTAAATTCATGGGTAGCTTTCATAACACAAGAAATAATCGTTGGTTATCTGAAACAATACAATAGCAAGATGATTTGACTTTTTTACGAGATCAAACTAGTGACAAAAAAGCCTAAATCAGAGGACATCAGTTATATTGTAAAAAAAATACAGCTCATAATACTGATATATAGATTATTTGAAGACTGAATATGTCATTTTCCATTCTATTACTTAGCTATCAAAACCTAATTTTGAAGAGCTACCTACTTAAGTAAATATTCACTAGCATTTCATTTCTTATCTGATCAAATAGGTTTCAGATTCTCCACATGTGAATTCTTGTACGAGTATTAAACAAGTTTTATTTATCAGTAATATTTCGTACTTGTTTTTTGAACACATCACTCTACTGATCCTGTTTGCTATTAGAAAAACTCAATTCAAACGTCAGTTGCTTTATGTTTAAGCCTGGGAAAATTATATCTGAGTAGTGTGAATAGCTTTTAGAGTAATTGCTAAAAGGTGATAATCTATTTTATAATTTTGACGATGGTTCTCAATACATACAAACTTACAAAGGGCAATGTCTCAGGGACTAGTTAAAATCCCATAGAAATTTATCATAGAATGTTTGTTGATCAATAATTTTTATTTCGATGGACGAACTGTAGATTCTTGAAAAGTTGCTACTGTTTTGAAAACAAATTCATTTGGTATTGCTTTACTTGAGTCTTCTCATTTGAGTTTAAAACTGTAATTGATCAGTGTCTTATTTGCATACGAGTGTATTGCTTCGATATTACTTTAACTTACACTCGTTATAAGCAAAGATCGATGGTGGTTAGCAGTGGAACCTAAGAAGCGCGATGGAGTTTGAAGTGAACGGTACTGGATTCGAGTCCCAGAGTGAACATCAACACGGATGCAGGTACTTCCAATTGATCCCACTGCTAGCTACCAGTCATCTTTGTTTCAAAAACAGTTCACGGAATGGGGGTTTGTGGAGATTGTAGGTTTTCCATAGTGGTCTAGCTTAAGTCAACTCATAAATTCAACTATTAAATCACAGTTCACGGAATGAAGAATTTTGTTAAATCTTTAAACAATTCATACTACTCACTAGTAGTCGAAAGTGAACTATGGAAATGTCTGTGATCAGGACTTCGATTGAAAGCGATAAACTATGGTATAAATCAAAAGCGTGAACAAGAGAAAAGTACAGAATATTACAGGTATAATATGACTTGACACTGTTAGTAGAACAATTTAATTGAATTTGTATGACGAATGAATGAGTAAAAGTCGAAGATTGTGGTAATTTATTGTTTGAAAGAGATGTACTTAGTGGCAGGCAATTCAATTACTATTTACTGTTTAAAGATATACCTAAATAACATCGAAACTCTCAAACTTAATTTGAATATCTCCGTTTTATATCACTCGCTTATTAGAATCCCAAAAACCTTTGGGACAAGTAGCGAATCATCAATATTCCATAGATTGACCACAACACCAAAAAGTAGGCATTAATATACTGTTCAACTTCTATTTTGCAAGGGGTTTTCGGCTCAAATCATTGGAAGTGATGACGTCGGGTCGTTTTGGATAGTTAGTCTAACCAAAACCATTTATTTCCGAGTTATCAATGTTCTTAACACTCACTTTGAAATGAACTATATCTCAAGAAATATTTTTCTATGTACGAAAATTTAGTTTGTTTCAGCGACGTAGAAAGCCAATGACAGATTTTTGGAACTATTCTTAATATTTTATTAGAAATAAGAGCTTTTGATAGGTGTACATGACCTTCAATGACTCAAGTTGGTAGTAATCATCTGTTACGAACTGATAAAAACTATGTACTTCAATTCGAATAATTTATGTAAATACAATTTATTTGAAGAAAAAAAACATCAAAATGTGACTTACCTCTTCATTTGATTCTAATTCACTCCATTGACCAGAATATAGTTGAGGCTGACAATAACGCAGAATACATACATTCATTGAGACAATTGTATAAGCAATTAATGTTCCAATGCTTAAAAAGTCAGCTAATAAATGAATATCGCATAAAAGAGTCAGGATTGCAGAGAATATTCCAAATAAACTTAATGCGACGACTGGTACCTGCAAGCAAAATAAAAAAGGCAACTTGATAAGCCTTACATTGTCTCTTATGAAAAATAATCAACATAAATGGTCAAGTGCATTGAGTCTATATTAACTGATACTGCTTAGTAGAAACCTGTCTTACTTTTAATTTAACGGTTAGAACTTTGGTTGAAATTTTAAATTTAAAATACTAGTAATTTAACAGTTACAGCTTCTCGTACCACACACATTATATTTTGGAGTATTTGAAGACAGATTCATACATTGGCATTCTCAAAGCTTGACTACATTAGTCAATAATGGACAGACAATAGTACTGATCAATGATTTTGTGAAAAAAACTATTCGAAACTTCAATAAAGTGGAAATGTCCTATAAAATATTCAGCCACCTCGATTATAGTCAAAATTATATGTTGACTGGCTCCTATGGGTACAACAAAAGATAAGGAAGATTATCCTTCCATGGTAATTGATTTGACAAACATACCACGGTTAGTGTTATTTACTATCAACAGTGTAAAACTATTAAGCCCGATATCAATTGTATGATTTTAAAGTATGACAGAAAACAAGCAATAATTAAGTAACTTGTTTCATTCAATGAACTCATTTGATCTGAAAAACTTTTATCCCACAAAATGATTCATTTGACTTTTAAAGAAAGATGTAAAAATATTCTGATAAATTTTTAATCACAGGCAAATCAATTTTCAAACTTTAACCGTTTAAAACAAATGAGAAATTATTATTTTTCTTTCTGTAACTTCGTAGCTATTAAAATGAAACCTACGATAATATACATTTTTAACCAAAAGTACTCTCTACGTTATTCAGTTGGTAAATAAAAAATAAGAAAGTTCAGAAAATCCGTTACCGATATATTTTAAAAATGTATCATCTAGACATTTTATCACATGAAGTCAATTTACTTTGTTGAATTTAGCAACTATTAAAATGATGTTTTAGACTTACTTGTGTAGATGGTAATAGGTAGCCTAGAAATTTAGGCAATAAACCATCACTTGCCATAGCATACACTACTCTTGGCATTGCATACATACTTGTAAATAAACTGGCACTCAATCCCAGCAATGAGCCAATTCCTGTTATATATGTAGCCCATTCATAATTGCGAACATGAAAAGCAGCTGTAAAAGCAGCCTGTCTGTCAACTGTCCACCATGGTACAAAAAGTGTCAAAGCTAAGCTAGCCAATAAGAATAGAAGCGTAACTACACCGACTGATACACCAGTAGCAATTGGCATTGATCTTTTAGGATTCAATGCTTCTTCACTGCTAACTGTTATAGCATCAAAGCCAATAAATGCATAAAAACATGTTCCAGCTCCACCAATCATACCACCGAATCCATATGGAAATAAACCTCCATGACTAGCTGGTGCAAATTCTGAACTATGCTCATTCGGTCGTGCAAACATAATACAAGTGGCCAAAATAATTACCACTAAATTTAGCATTGTTATTATAGTATTTAATATTGCTGAAAGCTTCGGTCCCCGGAATAATACTAAACCAAGTATAATTATTAAAAGTGCTCCAATAAAATCTGGGTATTCGCCTACGAATTCCACATTCGATGGAAAACTGAAATATATCGAAAGTAAAAAGAAGGAAGATATAGTAGTACATCTGAATAAGGTTATATCAAATGAGCATAAACGTTTATCAATGGGACCGATATTCCACAGACTACAGACCGAATCAAAAACTATACACAGAGTTACAAGCGACTTATCTACCTGGTCAATATTCAGATTTGAATACATTGAACTAGGCAGCAAGTAAATGACATCAGTTAACAAATAACATAATGGATTTATACAGTTTGCAACACCATTGGATTAAATTGATTAAATCAACAGACATAACTAAATCACTAAGTTATACATTTGTTCCTTCCTAATATTACGACATCCAAACCTAAAGAACTCATACATTTTAGTTTATTCGTTTTAAAGAGAACTGAGAATGAAAACAAATGATAATGTGTTTTCCATGCAATATGGTCGTGTAACTTTAATATAATGGTTAAAAAATAATGGTATGACACAACCACGAAGAAATTGGTTTTGATGTGACCCTTCCTTAACAAAATTCCGGTCTTTTCCTTGTTCAACTAATAACGAATAACATGCTTCATTACTGATATGTATATCGATGAAGGAATGATATGCTTGCTAGAAAAGATGACTCAATAACACTGTGAACAATATACTGAACAAATTCATTTGCACAAGCAAGTAGCTAAGTGGATAACGCGATGGCGTTTGAAGTGAATGGTGCTGGATTCGAGTCCCGGAGTAAATATCAACTCTGGGATGCAGGTACATCCAGCTCACGAATCCCAAATAGGACGAGACGCACGTCCTGGATTGCACTGCTAACCACCAAGTATCTTTGCTTATAATATACTGAACAGTTTTAGCAGATAACGCAGTAGACAACACCAAGAATAGATAAATTAAAACAATAACGAGTTACACTATTTTAAAAGTGAACGTCTGAAAGTTAACAACTATTAGTACTGGGGAAAGCTTTATCAGCCGAACTTGAGGAAAAGTGTTGGAAATATGTTAATATTGTTTTCTACTACGTTAATTGTAAATTCAATAAGTTTGAAAAATAATGAATGATTTAACTATATTCACATAAATCTTATGAGAAATGAAAATACTAACGAACATATGACTTGTTACATTATATATTTTCTAAACACGTTAGTTAACTAATTCAATGGTTTGAAATTGAGATTAAAATACACTGCTCTTTTGTTTAGCTGTAAATAAGCAAAAAAAACACACCAAGTGTATAGCTTAATCTAAGTATAAGCTGAACTACAATTATTAATCATTAGATAAACATAAATTTCTGCATCTCTATTCTATTATCATACTACAAAATGAAAGAATCTTCAGAAAACTTCAAAGAATCTACCCCAAAATCTTCATTAACTGGGCTGAAAGCTTAATCGATTACTGTGTTATATAAATGCTGATATCAGTCGGCTATTCAAGTTCTGGCGTTTACTCATGACCTAACCACTGAAACACCTCATATTACTAAGACAAATTTAAGCAAACTGTATTGTATTAATATTACTGGTTCTAAACAATAGAGGAAAAACTATAGATTCATTAAAAAACGTCAACTGATTTACAAGATTTGATCGTTAAAATATATCGCTTATAATGAAAAACCAAAACAAGTAGGATATTTATTCGTTATTTTGATTATTCTAATCGCTTGTCAACACATTTTAAAACTACCAACCTTACTCAATAGTTTGTTTTCAATAACAAGTGGGTACTGACTTTCAATCTCACAAAAGTAATCTTGTTACACATTAAGAGATAAAGGAAGAATAATGCTATCAGAAGGTTGTTCAACTAGTTATATTAACTTCTAGTAATTTCGATGGTGTAGGCTTACCTAGCAATTAACTAAACAACAAAAGATGAGAACAAGTCCGGATGGGTTCAAATCAAAATATTACCTCAAACAATAATAAAAAATAGTACAATTGTGATTGGTTATCCCGTCAACAGATGTGTCAGGTTATCCTAGGTAATCGTGTGTCTATCTACTTTTATATTTATTGATTACCAAATATGATATCCTGAATCCTTAATAATCTGCCGTAAGCAGTTTATTGACTTGAAGAAGGAATTTAGTTATTAGGGCTAGAAGTTTAACAAGCAATTTGGAAATAGTTTGAAAGAGTATGTAGAAAACTAAATAAAATGTTAATAATTTTGAAGAAAGATCCAAGTAATTATCAGAAAAATCAATAGAAAGAGATATTTTCCTAATGGATTAACATAATTACGAGGGAAGACTGAGCGTTAACTTAGATAAATATAACAGGTAAAATTCTGTACTAATCAGTCACGTGATGGCAGTTAATATCATGTTATTCAGTAGAATAGAGGTTAGAACTTATGTTATCTAGTGTCACGAGCAACAGAGCTACCAATGGAGTATCTGATGTATACTCAAGTGAGTAGTCAATATCATTCAGTTTCAGACTCAGTACAGATCAGTTTCATTTATCTTCTTAATATGTGTTTCATTTAAAACAGTTCAGTATGATTCTTGAAGCAAGGTTAAAAACGAAACTTTCAGGTCCTATAAAGACGACTCACTCAAAACTATGATTCTGACTTTTCGTAGACTTTCATGAACTCAGTGGCTCAGTGGATAACGTGATGGGCGTTTATGAAGGAAATTACTGGGTTTGAGTTCCAGAGTGAATACCAACATTGGGGTGCAGTTACGTTTAGGTGCTGAGTCACAATCTTCATCTTAATGAACATTGTCCACTTACTCTACGTAGCTATAATATGCTAATTACTTAATAAAACCTTTTTATTCCAACTTGAGATGTAAGTCACAAAAATATTATGGGATAAGTTTAGTTGTATTGCGTATTTACCGACAACCATCTTCACCGATTGTAATCAGAGTGAAGCATCTTTTAACTTCACTCCATTGCAAACCCATAAGTCTTAGGGATTTAGTGATCGAAAAGCATTAAGTGTTTGCTTCATTTTTATTAACTAACTAATCTATAACTCAACAGACGCGTCTTCTAAGAGATGATCCATGCAGTTAAATTTATGATTGGTTTTGACATTGGTTTTCCTATCAAATATTTAAACTAAAAATAATCCAGAATGAATTTCATGTTACATATTCCGTTTTTCAGTTTCTCGAAAAAACAATCAATAAAATATTTTAGCAATTACAACCTTTTTCTTTGTATTTTATTTGCTGTTTGTTTTATTACTGAAATTCCAGTATCCATTTTTCTCTTATTCTCTTATAATTTACCCAGTTTCTTCTAAATTCTCAAAATGAAGAGACAATTTCAAACTAATAAAACTTTTCAATTTCTGAAGTCTGATACAATTTGATTAACGCTAGTAATGGGATCAAAAACCTATAGTTTACCGAGTGTTTGATTAGCCATTTAACAATAGCAAAAGAACAGAGTCATCATTAATGGTAAGTAATGCTACCTAAAAGATGATCATGACAATTCGGTAGACCGGTCGATATTATTCCAGTAATCAGATGATAAGTAAACATGATTACGGTGTAATTCACTATTTTAACGTCTGAATTATTAAGTTATAGCATACACCTTAGATTTATCTTAGTACGTCAAATTCTGTTAGTCGTAATAGTAAAAGACATAAAAATCCAATAAAATGAGCTAATGGAATTTTCAGAGACCCTGTCTAAGTGTGTTTTGCACAAGACTGAAAATTGAAACGAAAGCTTCAGTTATAGGCTATAATGGAGCAAAATTAGCAATGGATAGTAAATATTTCACCAAAGTTGAAAGCTGTTGTTATTGGAGGTCAAGACTGCTAAAGAATTCCGAAATGTATTCAATTTTAAAACTAGCAATGATGTGAAAACGTGCATGATACCAACCGTCTCCTTGACATTTTTTTTGCATTTTCGATTATCGTTTCCTATCTTTTTGACTTTTCTTGGTTTGGATCCCAAGACAAGCCTATATGCAATAAGTCTGTACAAAATACATTGCACGACGGCACCATAATTTTTAGACAAACTCTTTTCTCATTATATTATCGAAAATTAGAAAGCTATTTCATCCTTAAAATAAGTCACAGCTGAATACGTTGAGGAAATTTAAAAGTATTACGTAATGACTGCTTGGCGAAACAATTTATTAACAATGAAAGATCTTCAGTAATATTGCACTCATAATTAGTAATTGATCAATCAATCATTAAATACTCTGAAGCTAATCTGAAGCCATCGACTTTGAAATGTCACGTAATTCAGTGTTAACAGTTAAAGACTGACGAGTAGAGTTCAATAGGTAACGTAAACCAGGTAACATTACATTGTTTACCACGATGGAGAACGAGTGGTGATTTAAAAAGCTTTGTGGGAGCGTCTCTAGCTGATAAACGCTAATGAATATAAACATTTGCTCAACAAAACGAACTTGTGAGTTATGTGGGGGGTTTTCCAGTGTCTCCAAAACAGCCAAGAATTACACAAATATCGAATTTTCCTGATTTTTAATAGCTGTAATACAGGTATTTATTTACAGTTGAAATCAAACTTAAATTAACATTATCTCAATTAATTAACCCAATCACTTGCAGCTGATTAGAAGTCTCGAAATATAATGAATTCATTTTCTTCAATAAATGTTAGCACTTCTGCTTTGTTTAAAACAAAATGATCAAACTACTACTTATAAATGTAAAAGTATTTAAGAAGTTATCAGAGTTGATTTATTAGTAACTTAGATACAACAGAAAATACAACATAAAAACATTTTACCTGCCAATAGTATTCTTTGTTCCATTACTAATAGCATGTTGTACCATTGCGTCTACTGTGCCACTCCAACCACGTGCAACACTTGATACAGACAAAACGTATTCTAATATCATTGACCATCCAACAATAAATGCTAAGAACTCTCCGCTTGCCACATATGTATAGGTGTATGCAGATCCTGACTATGAAAGAAAAAAACGTAAATAGCAAGTAATTTGTGAGTAAATCGAAATGAAATATGGAGAATCTTTGAAATACTAGTTATAAGAAAGTAATTCTATAATCGATTTTTTAAGTTAAGAAATTGATTTCCAACCACTTGGTAAATAATGAACACGATAAACAAAAATGACTACTGAAACTCAGTTAAACTTTTAGTCACAATTTGAGTTAACACAATTGATTAATTTATTACTTCTTGAATGTTTTACTTCATGCATCATGAGAACTGAAAAATGACATTTTTAATTACTTTTTAAGAATTCCTGTTTGGTTTATTATAAAATATTAACTTTTTTTAATAATGATGAAGAATACCTAAAGCTCAGAATGTGACTTTTTCGACAAATTTTTGATTTGACACTGAAAACAATAACGAAAGTATCATTCTTCAGTATATCGCTAGTTCAATAAGTATTTTTAATTTAAAAATGTAAAAATCAAAATAGAGGCAACAAAGTTTAACTAAGTTCAGATCGTATCACAGTTTAACTTCTTTCATTCATAACATTTTTCTTCATCATTTTATTAATCTTATGTAAGTTCAATTAAATGCATGTAGCATTTAGAAAATATCACCAATCAGTCAATAGAAATCTTTTATTGTTTTCTACGGTGAATGGTAATGTCACATATCCATAAAAAATATATAATCTACGCAGAGCTTATTATTATTTACATTAAATATCTAAAGTACGCAAACCAATCAACATAATGCATAGAAATACAAGAGTATTTTCCAAAATTAAAAAAATTAGTGATTAAGAATTATAAAGCAATTAGCCCCTTTGATCAATTGCGATAATATAATAAGAAGACGAAGATTATCAGAACTAAGTGATATATAATAGCGCAATACATTTCGAACAATCTGATCACACATTGAGAGTTAGGCAATTTTATTTGTCAATATACAATAAAATCAAATTTATTATTTTATAGAAATATTTGAATTTTTTAAAACATACTAATAACCCATAAAAACCTTAAATTTTGAGACGATTGAACCTTTGGTAAATTATCCACCAACTAGTCTTATACAGAAACAGAAATTAATGTAGAAGGTCAAACAAGTGGCTTAAATATTCTGATTACCTTAAGATTTGATCTAGTTTTAATTCTATTCGCGTATAATTCCGACTAGTAATACATTAAGCAAACTTATCTCGATGAACGAAAGGCAACCTACAATTTACAGAAAACATCTTATGCATATATATATATATATATATATATATATATATATATATATATATATATATATATATATATATATATATATATATACCAAAACAACTCATATGATATAAAGCTACTCAAACTGGTGGCCATACTTTAACTCGATAATCATAATCCAACGAGTACTGAGAAGTAGACAAATATAACACTATATTATATTTAAGTCATTCTGTTAGAACTTCTATAGTTGAACAATCAGAACTATCTTGTAATTGAATATAGTTCCTTACTAAAAGATAATATAACTTTGTTCATCAATAACAAGTTGCTATGACAGTTTTTACGATGAGAATGTTGTAAACCGATGGCTCGTCAACAAAGAGTATTTGCTGATAAAAAAGTGATAGTTAATTTTCGAGAAAATTGAAACGTAAAAATAGACATAAGAAGGGAACATGAAATCAAGCTTAGTGAAGAGAGAGGGAGCTGAATAGTGTTTTATTTGGCGGTAAAACGTTTCCCATTGAAATTTATTTCCCAGACGCAAAGGAAAACGTGGCGTATTTCAAAGTTTTGTTGCTCGTCGCATTTTATGATAGTGATGGTTAGTAAGCCTGTTTATGTCTAACTACAGTATTACTTTTTTCCAAGGCGTGTAAACCATTTTCGACTGCAAAGGCTTTCCATAGTTGATGAGAGTTTTCAAGAAGATATGAAGAGTGTATGAAAAATAATATCATTTTGAAAGACTAATATATTTAGAATGTACCAAGAGCATATGATAAATTTATGCACTTGACTAAACTAGATTTTGTAAGCTAAATTTTTCAAGTTAGTAGTAAACTTAAAGACAGTTTCTGTCACACGTTTAATACAGTTGAAAAAATTCATCAAATGCAAAGGATTAGCAAAACGTTTGACTTGTTCTGATCCGTTTTATCATCATGCATCTAGAACCCAAAACTTCCAGACCCATACGTGAACGCTTAACCTCTACACTACTGAGCCTGCATTTAGTGGTGTACAAGTCTAAATCAAATAAATCCACGATATTGCACGACCATATTTCATTGTACTAAGTGGGTACCTACTTAAGACCTGTCACAGTTTAGCTCAGCTGGTCATGGCTTTTCAATATAACTACGGAAGTTTCTTGTCGAAGCTAGTCATTAAGCAAGCAGGTGATAGTCGTCAGTATGGAGACTGTCGAATTTAACCAAAGTCATGGATGGATCTATTTCAGACTTGAGCACAACTACGTGGCGTACCAATGGTCTGAAGTTTAGGAGTTCGTGCGCGAGAATGAAGGTTTTGGTTTGGTTTCCCGTTTGCGAGGGCGTGGATGCATAACCCTGAGTGGCCCCATACTAGCGCGAAATAACCGTCCAGTGCCTCCAGGTTTCAATGGTGGCCTAACCTAGATATTTTCACGATTTCAATGAAATTCGACAATTTCCACAGTCTCATACTGAGATGATATATATATATATATATATATATATATATATATATATATATATATATATATATATATATATATATATATATTAAAAGCTAGTTCAATAATCCTTTTACATGTCCTACGTTGCTTATGGCTGACTGACTTGCATGTAGTATTCATTAATGGAAATAATAACAAATAAAAAACAAATAACATGATTGTTTTGCTGTGTCCAAATCACGTTTAGATTCAATAGTTTGAAAAACTTTGGGCATTAGGCAAATGTTATTCATTATAATTAGAAATTTGTATTTTCCTATACGTGAATAACAAAACAGAATTTTTTTCCTGATGTTCCGCTATATAATACTAACAGTTTTATCAAATTAGTAGTGAACCAGAATTTACAAAGTCTCGGCTTATATGATGATTATTTACTTCATACTGTGTGCAGTGAAATACAGAAATAAATATACACACGAACTGAATGGTTGTTTTAGTTACACATGGGAAGGGAATACTAACCTTATGGTCGTGATGTTTATGCGCATGAAATTCACTAGTTTATTTATAGTTCAAGGTCAAGTATAAAACAATTACCGGTCTGGATTTGTTGCAGCCACATGGGAGTTTTATGATAGTAAAATAAATGAGCTAAGAATGTTTGCTGTTATTGTTGTTAAAATAAGATGCCATGATGATTATCCATCACACAATTAAAGTAGAAAGATGTAATCAAAAATGATGAAGTGAGGTAATTTTTTAAGAAACTTAGGTATGCAGCGTGAATCAGATATATTAAAGAACAAATTAAAGTCTCATTTAATAGCCTTTTACGTATCAAGTGTGTACAGTAATTCAGTAGACTAGTATCATTTCATTAACGACAGTACACATAAGGAATAACGTCTGTTTAACAACTTCAATACCTCCATTTGCACACAATCATCATGAAAACTTCAAATATGAAACAATCAACAGCCTAAAACAATAAGTATTAAAGAAGGGTGAGCTTTGTACAAAAGCAGGGTTCGTCTTACAATCGAACACTGTAATACCAATAAGGGTTGTTGAGTTACATTTATGAAGTTTATCTGACTCTAAGTAATGATTGCAAGCATAACCTGTTAGGAAGTTTACGATTAGATTGGTATATCGGTTGAGCCACATTTTAGAGAATTTAACGCTTACAACCCAATAACGAATGGAAACACTATCAAATTTTCCAGTAATGTCAAACCTATCTCAATATGTACTTTGAATTTGTAATTAAATTCATGTATTGCTTACATGCAGGATGTAATGTGAATGTAAAAATGAATTAATTAACATGCAAATTAGACAGTATTTTGAGATTTAGAAAAACAAAATATCAGCTCGAAACACGAACAAAATTATTATGAAAAAGTTAGACCAAGTTCAGCAAGTATTTTCGAAAAAAAAAACATGAAATAAAGAAATTTTCATTGAGAACTGATATTATGCAGACAAATTCTAAACTGAATAATGAATGAATCTGCTCTCTGGCCTCAGATTTGCAAGCCAACATGTAAATGAATTTATCGATTAAACCTTAATTACAAATTATTGATTTGAGAATTGCTATTCGCGTTTGAATCTACCGAAAACCTGAACTAATATTATTTTGATTGAAACTAATATAACTAAATAATAAAATAATGTTGATTATTAGTTGCATGCTTATTTGGATTTGATCTCATCTGTCATTAATATAATCTCATATTCAATTCCTACTATGATATGAATAAGACTAGGATTTATCTATTGATTTGTTCAAATGATCTGAATCGTCGTTAGGATGAAAAATATTTTCCTACATTTTTTGAACTATGTTGTTCGAATACCTGAACAACAAATATAATTCTTAATTCAGATCAATAAAATATAAGAAAGATCCTAACCCAAGTTACCTTTATTTTTAAAGCTGGGTTTTAAAAGTAGAGTTAATGAGATTGTGAAATAAGGGAATATATTCAGAACTACCAAACTGTACTTATTTAACACAAAGGACTATGTAATTTTAAATATCCATAGCACTATTTATCTGAAGCTGATTATATTCGGTAAACACTTTAGCCCATAGATTGTCATGTTCGAAATATTTATCATCAGTAAGGGCTCACATAGAAGAGATAGAAAAGTGACATGTTTTAATACTTGGATGTACGGTTAATGGCGAATTTCTAGTTTATATACCCACAGTTGTCAGGCAATTTTACTACCACATGAGCAGTTATTTTTTAAACACAGCAGATAATACCAAGTGTAAATCAAACTCATGTGAATACAAAAGAATTCAGAGATCGATTCCGTTATCTTAATCATCACCCATGTGAAATTTTGGCCACTAAATTTTACTCGTCAGCTTATAGAGACTTACACATGAATACATTAGATTAAATGTTGTTTTAATCACAGATAAAAGTACTGAAAACTAGAAAATATTGAACTATCATTTTACTCCACATTAGAACTCAGCAACAAAAACGTCATAGGTATGTTCTAAAGTTCTAGACCAACACATTCACATTTCATATGGAAGATATTATGAATTCACTGGTGAGAGATTTGATCCGATCCAAGGCTATTTAGTCAAAATCAAGCATAGTTATAAAATGAGTTCTTGTATGAATTCCGTTACCAATGACACCAAACTACTTAATAAAAAGTCAACTGTATTAAAGATTATCATGATGACTATCGATTACAATTACTAGTTTCAATGTGATTTTACAAATCACTTTAAGGTTATGCATTGTTATTCTACAAATTATTGAGGATGTTAACTGCATTTTATTTTCACAATTACAAACAATGTGAATTTTCTCATTTAGTGACATTTAAATAAAAATAGAAATCTTTGTATTCGCTGTGAGGCTGTACTGAGAATATAGCTCACAAGGAATGGAGGTGAAATGTATGATAATATTTTAACAAAATATCAGTAACTTTACTCAAATAATGCGGACAGTAGAAATGTCGATGATTAAAACAAACCTGTTTGCTCTGTTATTCATCTAAAATAAATTTGCCGTGCAAGTATTAAATGTAACCTTGGGAAAAATAATGGAAATATTACAGATGTCCTTAATATTTAAATACAATTCAAATAAATGGAAAGCAACGTTTCTAGAGGTCAGGAATTATTTTCGAAACCTTTATCCCTTAGATAAATATTTTATCTATATTAGAGTTAGATTTAGATATTTGTGTTGATTTACGTTGCAAAAATAGTTATTAAGATTTCAAACAAAACACGATTATTAAAAGCATTATAAAATAGTTACTAATAGAATAATAAATTGAAAACAACTGAACAGAAAATACCATAGAATTACCTTTGGTATTCGTGAACCAAGCTCAGCATAACACAAAGCGTTTAAGAAAGCTGTTACACCAGCAACCAAATATGACAAGAAAGTAGAAGGTCCAGATTTGTCACGGATTACTGTACCAGTTAGGACGTAAATACCAGCTCCTGCCATATTTCCTGAGAACAAGAAATATGAAGTAAGGGTCAGTTGTATTACCTATACCCAAAAGGGTAAGGTCGAAAGCTGTTAGACATCTTTTCAAAGGAGTATCCAAGTTGTCACGATCAAATCTGCGCGATCTTTTCATAGACTCCCATACTCTTTTCAAGTGAGACTTTGCAGTTTCTGTCATAGAAAGGGATTTTAAGCTGTGGAAAACGAAGACATTTCTAAAATATGTAAAAGAATGTATTTACTCGAACCATGGAATGGTGGGCAAGAAACTGATTGGTCAATTGAATATTCACATATATGAGAAAAGTCGATGTCCAACATAAATCTAAATTAACGATACGTTCGGGGAAGCATTTCTTAAGTCATAATCTTCCAATTAAAGAGTTTGTTTTAAAAGTTGGGAAGTAGACCCGCGGTTTTCAAATTGTGACGTTACTATTTTCAGCTAAACGTTAAGTAAGTTCATAGAATATCCAATCTTACTGTCAGATCCTCTTATTTAAGTATTTATTTCATCCATAAAATTTAATCCAAAATGGTATCACATTCGTTGACAATGTAAACCGTATCTGTTGGTTCTGAAATTAGTTAATTCAAATTACATTGAAGCAATGCCTGTTTTTGTTATTCAACAAGTTGGAATTCGGTACTCGGGGTTTCTATGGCTGTTTGTGCGTTTATTAACTCCTTTTAGTCATCTTTTTTTGCTTTAATTGCAATGGAAATGTTCCACCAGGTCAGCAGGATTATATAGACTTAAATACTTTAGTGTTTTTCCTAGAAACTAAAAATGCACTCTTACTCCACGTTATAGGTAATTAGCTTTAAGTATTAGTATTTGGAGAGCGTTTTTAGTCAATTGTATGTTCGTAGTTGTTACTAGACTGCTTTTTATTCTTATAATCTGGGATGGTCGACTCTCATGAATAATGTTATAAAAATACATCTGACCTTGGATTTATTATTACTGAACAAGTTATTTTGAGTTACACGCTAAATCGGCAAATGATTTTTCGTCGTTTTCGCGTAACGATGGTTGTCAGCAATTTGTAACCAAAATGAAACCTTTGACAAACTTACATCATCTCAAGTTATCATAACTTGTCATCACAGTGAAATGAATTTGACGAAGTGAAGTAGTAGTGGTATCACTGATAGTGAGACATAATATAACTTACTAGCTACAAGATTTTGCTATCTGAAGATCGTAAGACTGTTCGAAAATCAGATTATTTCATTTGGGGGTAGGGTTCTACAAGTGAATAACATCTTTACAAACGTTTACGTCAGTGTTCTGCAAGCAAGTTCCACATTCAGTAAAAGACAACTAAGAAAAAAGAGAAAAGAATAATCTAGCTAGTGATCATTAATGATTCGTGAATGCTAATTTTTTATGGTCATTTTAGACCGTCTAGCTCCGGAAATACAATACTTACAAGCACTCGTGTTTGTTTTCGGTTTATTTATCCATTACACAATCAGAGCTAGAAAAAAATTGAAAAAATATTGATACTCTATGATGAGTAGCTACATTTATGTTCTCTTGCAGAATTGGTCAACTAAATACGCTCACAATTTACTGACAGAGAAGCGAATACTGTGATTGTAATGGTAGTCTCCCTCAACACCAGTTGGATCTACTCGTGTATCAGCATTATATCCAACTGCGACAAACAATAGCTCTAAGTGATTAATATATCTTACGTACCTTTCCCGTTCATTGCTCTTCTTAGGTTTAATCGTGCTTTAAGGTTCTCTAGTTAGTTTCTCCACTGCCTGTCAAAGGTGTTCCCATGATGTACCATTCCGAAAAGTGTATCCTTGTATTATAATTGAGAAGTGAATATAAAGGTTTAGTCATCCGATAACTTCTAAGTTTTGTGGTTTCAAATCCGAGTAAGTGCTGATAAAAGAAAATCTCTACAAAGTAAATGTTTATTAATACAGACGATACTGGTCTATTTTAGGCAAGGGGATATCTTGTCTACTCAAAAGTATGTGTAAGCTGGCAACCGTCTAGCTAATATTTTCTGTTCATACTTTTATTTAGTATTCAAAAAGTGTATCAGGTTTGATGCAACTGTAAACTACAATAGGTCAATATAATTAGCCATTTCATTTTTTACTAAGTATAGATACTAGAAGAAATAATGTCTAAGACATCTTATATTTGACAGACAAAAAACACGTCAGATATTTTCAATCATTATAAGGAAGGGAAAGGCCAGTCTCTGATGTTTATCATTATCGTGTACTTCGAAATCCCATTGCCGTTTTCTTTTCGTTATTGCTTTTGAGCAATGGCAATCTAAACTCATGTTAAGTTTTTGGAACTTTGGTGTCGTTTTGTGTGTCTCTGTTCTGGAACTTTGTTTACTGACACCCGATTGCTGTTGTTCGCTTTATGATACGGCGAGATTCATGGATTAGAGGACATATCAAGCCGCCCAGTTGTGTTTTCGTAAACGCCTTTCTAGGTAGTTGTGGTTTAATTACATACGCACATCAATCCAGTTAATATTCCACTACTACATATAAAAATACCGCACTTATTTCTTCTGACTAGGCACATGTCCATCAGATAATATTTGTCAACGAAGTTGACATTATCAGCACAAACTTCAGGTAGAATTTTACCTGACAAAAGAACGATGAAATCTTCATGACCAAACTATCCATCTCAGAGAACAAAACCCTATCAAAATCATCCACCTGAGCTACAAATCTTCTCCACCATCTCAGCCACACTAGTTGATGCATCATTTGTTTACTTCTTACTGTTGTTTCAACGTTTGTGGTAAGCCTAAATGCGAAAGGACCTATTGAGTTGTCCCCAGTAGTTTTAAAATATGATGGTCTAATATTACTGGTTGAATGAAGTGAGTTGCTATCTAGTTTATATAAATCAGAGATAAGTCTATCGACCCTTAATCAGTTCAGTATATAAAAAGACGTAGTTGCCATAATAATTGGTCTGATTCGCATGTCTTTTAAATGCTATTATTCAAGCAATTGATCACAAACCATTTTTAAGAGATAGATCCTAGAAAACATGATATGCTGTAACCCCTGTCAATTTACTACACATAGGCAGCTAAATTTTCACTCGGTACTTTAATTATAAATTTAGCATGACATGTATTATATATGCTTAACCTTATTTAGTGATGAAATTGGGCAAAGCTTGCGTAAAGACCGAGAAGCTTGATGGTAGGAGTGTGCTAATGAGTTGGAAGCAGCAGCCGCATCTGGTAACTGCCGGAAGCTCTTTCAATTCATCCGAGCCACTGGCAGCAAGAAGTCTGGTGTGAGCGAAACAATCTGTGAAGATGACCGGGTGCCATTCACTAGCATCAACTGACGTCTTGGACGATAGGCAGTTTTTCGAGGAGCAGTTCAATTGGTCTGTTGCCCCGGCAACACCAATCAGACTACCCTCCCCTCCATGGCCTGTGACAACTGATCCACCAAATGAGGCAGAAGTCCTCAAGGAACTCCATATCTTGAAACGCTACAAATCACCGGGTCCAGATGACCTACCTACGGCCCTATTTAAAGATGGTGGTGACTTCCTGACTAAGGAACTGACTGTGTTGTTTACAAAGGTGTGGGAACTAGAGAGTGTACCAACGTCATGGAATGAGTCGATAGTTGTCCCTATCTTTAAAAAGGGTTCACGTCGTTCCTGTAACAACTATCGGGGGATAAGTCTACTTCCGATTGCGTCCAAGCTATTGGCTTTCATCATACTTCGTAGGTTGTTCAAAACCCGAGAAAGATTGACTCGCGAGAAGCAGGCTGGTTTTCGTTCTGGTCGAGAATGTATTGATCATATCTTCACCCTCCGCCAAATGTTAGAACACCGCCATACTTATCAAAGGTCAACAATCGTAGTGTTTCCTGACATCAGGGCTGCCTTCGATTGGTTGGACAGGACTGTTCTCTGGGATTGTCTATTGAAGAAGGGTGTGCCTGAGAAGTTTATTAACATTCTAAAAGCCCTATATACAAACACCTCAGGCAGAGTGAGGTCATACAACCACCTTTCTCCATTGTCCCATTTAAGCAATGGAGTCAGTCAGTCAGTCAGCTACAACGTAGGACCAGGCACATATGTGCATCGGTCCAGGTTGCCATACCGCATCAGCACAACAAGATGAACACTGGATTCATAGCAGTGGTTATGTCAAAGGTGGTTAGGGTTGCCCAATCTCACCATTCCTCTTCAACTTTGCCATCGATGACATTCTGGAAACAGCTCTTTTGGGTGTAAGTAGTGATGGTGTGGATTTGCTGCCTGCAGAAAGACTTCTCAACCTTGAGTATGCGGATAATATTATCTTACTGAGCGATAAGTTCTGCTAGTTTTGTGATTGATGAAATCCAGTCACGTATAGTGAAGGCCAGAGTGGCTTTTGCCAATCTGAGCCATCTTTGGCGCCTTAGTGATGTCAGTCTGGCTGTGAAAGGTCGGGTCTACAACGCGTTGGTGAGAGCAGTTCTGATCTATGCTTGTGAAACTTGGCCTCTCCGAGTTGAGGACGTTAGACGACTCTCTGTGTTCGATCATCGCTGTTTCCGAAGGATTGCTGACATCCAGTGGCAACACCATGTTATTAATGCAGAGGTTCGGTATCGTGTGTTCGGACACAGCGACGATAATGCAATTGGTGTCACCATCTTGAAACACCGACGTCGGTGGCTTGGACATGTTGCACAAATGTCATCCCAGAGAATTCCACGTCGTGCATTATTTGCCGACTCTGGGACTGGTTGGAAGAAGCGGAGAGGTGGTCAGTGTATGACATGGTGTCGTGGTATGAAAAAAAGCTGTAAAGGGGCTGGTTTCTGTTGGTCCTTCACGACTCCGTGGTTGTGGTCCTAGAGATGGTCAACACAGTGGTTAGACACGTTATCAGATATGGCTCGAAATAGAAGTCGTTGGCGATCCTGCTGTAAATTTATTTTACTTTCTTCATAAATAAGTGTACGTAACTTCTTTGACTGGGAGAATTCTTTCTGGTTGTACCTTTCTTAACTGAACTGCCCCTTCCATTTTTGTTATTTCACTATCATATACTAATTTTTGTTCGTTGTTGTTCCCCTTTTTCTTATACGCATCTAGCATTCTTTTTTTCACATTCTCATTGTTATTATGTGGCGCATATATTTCTGGTG